TCCAGTTTGTGGGAAATCAGACATATATCATCGGCGAAGTCCAGATCCTCCAAGTCTTTTGTGTCAGTCCATTTTATGCCCGTTCCCTCGTTGGTTGCCGCTGTCTGTCGCATTATCCAATCAATTGCAATCAGGAAGATCATTGGTGATAGTAGACAGCCTTGCCTCACTCCCGTCCTCACTTCGAAGGCTTCCGCAAGTTTCCCGTTGTGGATTACTTGGCATGCAGCATTGTCGTATAGCTGTTGGATGAGATGTATAATTGTCGATGGGACCCCGTAGTAGCGAAGTAGTCGGTTAAACATACTAAGGAATAATTGAACACAAATTTTGTGGGTTCGTCAGGAAATTCACCTTGAGGTTTCATCTGCCTGAGGCTGTTGTTGGGCTGGGTTTAGACGCACTGCGACCGTTTATTTCGTATCTTCTTGTTATGGATAATTTTGTTAAATTTTCGTCGTGCTTACTTTTGAATCTGTTTCGAGTCTTCTACATCCGTGAATGAATTGATTGATGTTAAAGACAGCAGATGGGTCGTATACGCCTGGGAGGCTAGCGCTGAGAATGAAATGAACACGGAGATAAGGATTAGCTGTGGAATCAATGATTGAGGATGAATGTTTCTATTTAGGCTGTGGTCCCACACGCCGGGGAGCGAGAGTGTAGACGACTGAGGCTTGCATACGTCACCGTTACTAGAACTGAGGCAGAATGAGTGACAAGCGATTGCAGTGGTAATTGGTGGTGAGTAGATAAGAGGATGTGCGTAGAGTATCGTGAGGTTCTGCTATGGTCACGTTGCATTCTGCAAGAGTCATTCTAGCAAGTGGCGATTGTGTTACAAGATGTCAAGAGGATAACTTTAATTCGAAGGTGTAGGTCGTCATCGATGTGTGAGATTGTGCTGTGGGTATGCTTGTGGTGTGTTGGCTTTTCTGTTTGTTTTCCATTTCAGCTCTGTCCGTGTGACCCAGGTTCACGCAATGGCATCCAAGTCAACGTGTATTGGTCGTGATGGAAAAACGGGATGGATCCCCTTTTTGCCGGGAGTGTCAGTGTAGTTGGAGATTGAACGATCAATTCATGGTTGTTTGCTCAAACCCAACTCCTCCATATTTTTCGCGGGTCATCAATCTGCCAGTCATCGTCTCATCGGTCGCTGTTCAGAATGAAGATAGAAAAAACTGTCAGAAGTAATATCATGGTTTATTGTTGTAACATTCATTCTTAGACCTTGTGTATAATAACCTTATTGTTGGTTGCATATTGGCATAAGAAATGAGGATTCTTGAGTCACCAGTCAGTAATCTAGTTTTCGTGTTGTTTTATACAAAATGTTTCTGAAAGTCTTCGAGGGACAGCGTGAAGTCCAGCGTAGTAAGATTTGGACATTCACAGTTTATCAGACTTGGCTGACATAACCTTATTTCATATTTATTGCCTCCTTAAATTCTGGTTTCTTTGTTTAAAAACGCAACAACACCAACGTTCGAATAAAGCTATATTTTCATCGAAAACCTCATAGTTTCCATGCTCAGACCAATATGGTTAACATTAAACATTGCAAATTTATACTATCATTCCGTGGAGTTTCCACATTCTTCTTGTTTATATCTTGTAAATGCTCTTTCAATGATAAATTATCCGTGGTTGTATCTTATGCCATTTAGCAGCTCCCCGGGACGTTCTTCTTTTCATAAAATAGCTTTTAATCAAGTGGCGGCATAGCACTTACCCAAATATACGCTGTTCACTGATTGTCCATAAGTGTCAGCATGAAACGAAACGAAGTCTTAGTTGTCGCTCAACTTTGATGATGACCTTAGTGAAGGGTTTACAATTTAACAGTTATAAGAACCTGTTCTGGTTGCTTGTACAATAAACAAACAATTTAAACTTCTGAAAGGGCATTAATTTGTGATACTTCAGGATTGTAATTTATAACATCGTGCCTGTAAAAATGGCATGAATTCCTAGTAAACTCGCCCGTTTGTGCGGGATATAAATTATTATTATCTCCTTTGTTTTGACGACGATGTCGGAGGATTAACTGCTGAAAGATCAACTTCATTCACAGTAGTGACAATCTTAACACACCACATACTACAAACAGCATGTAAATAATCTCATTAATACTTCTTCTGGAGTCAACGAAATCTACGACAGTCGAGTAGCTTGATGAGCTATGCAGAAGTTTACCGAAGATCAGTAACCTTTACCTTACAATCAAGACGCGAGAACAAAGAAATCAAATAGGTTTACACTAGCTCGTAAAAACGGTATTCAACGTTGAATACTGTTGGCGACGGTGTGCAGTAGCATAGACGCAGTTTAACTTCTATTTTTCTTGTAGTTTTCGCTTATAGAATTCCTCTCCTTTTTGATGGGGCTAGGTTATTGCTCAGAACCAACAAGTTCTTATGAATCACAGAAGAATTGCAGTTATAGGACACAAGTGGCGTTCAGGAACGGAGATAAATACTTCATGAGAAGAATCCGCATGTGATGCACGGCAACTGAGATGGTCCTCATCGGATTTCTGTTAATCTCTGATGGGTGCCTCTTGACATTCCTCTCATAGTGTGTCAATCACGTCTCATAAGCCGTTAATGCCCAGCTCTCGCTACGCTCGGGCCCACGCTGTTCCTTTGAGTTTTCAGAAACGCTTAGTTATAACGGACGAAAAAACCAAAACACCGATCTGCCGCTTGTTATTTGTTTATTGTTACACCAACATATAAAAGGAATAACTGAACTAAGGTCTGAAAACAAATATTACAATAATAAATCATAAGATTACTTCTGACGATGTTTCACTCTTCTTTCTGAACAGCGACCGATGAGACGATGACTGTCGTATTGATGCCTCCGCGAAAATTAGGGAAGTTGGTTTTGAGCAAACAACCATGAATTGATCGTTCAATCTTCAACTCCATTGACATAGTGATTTACTCATCACGACTACTAGCTGATAAACTGAGCTGCCGAGAGCAATGGGCTACAGTGGTCTAACAATGAGGTAGAAGAAGAATAAAGTTGGTGGACGTATTCGGTGTTGCGAAATCCAGTGTTGGACCTTAAGGAAACAGGAAACTGAGGTCACACTGCGTCTTCAGGCTTCAGTTAAACCACAGCAGTGCAACACTGAGGATGACAGCAGCCGAATACCAAGTTTCTCACTGGAACCTGTGGAAAGAAAGGCAACAGGTTGATTCCATGCAAATTGGCCGATCAGCTTGGGCATTTAATCCTCATTAGACAAAGTACCCTACAACAAAGCTAGGTGGTACGATTCAAAATCAGCTGCACAGACAAGAAAGTGAAGGGGATGTAAGGCAGGATGGCAGAATTCAGAAAAGTGCAATCCCACCTGGACTTCAAAGTAGCAAGGCTGACAACACCCTGAATAATTCCAACCAATACTTACGTTAACAGGGGAAGCAGACTAGAGCGAGCAACGGTATGCAATGGCATCAATTCACCAACCGCCACACTAATCATTTATCAGATGGTATCTGTCGACAAAACTCCTGTAGGGCAGAACACTGCCCAGCACAGTGACGGAGATACACTTTAGGAAACCAATAAGTTAGGCTGTTTGAGTAATTTTCGACTTGTTTTCGATTGGTGTGTACTATTTAAAACTCCCACGATTGATGTGTGACCAGCAATTCTTTTAGGCCTGAGCTATAGCAACACTGCCTGCTAACCTTTTGGCTTGATCTGCCTAACCTGGTAGCCAGGCTGCTCCTAACGCCACTCCAACCAGAGGAAGGAGAATTAATCGTTTGCGGCTCTTGAAAGATGAATTTATTGACGATGATTTGAAGAGAGTGTACATGCACACAACCACACCCGAATCAGGCTGCGGAGCTCTTGTCCTTTGAAAGCTATATGCACCACCATATGTTTCAATCTGCATGGATAAAGAAGTTAATATTTGAAGGGAAAAGACTGAGGTCTAATTGATTTGACGAACTTCTTTTATCCCATACAACGGAACCTAGACTATGACAAAGTCATCACGGCTGGAAACTTCAGTGCACCTTCACCAGAGCATAAGAAAGTTTTTATCGAAATTCGCTTCACACCATAGGGAATGCCTGATCGATTCAGAACATGGGAGACGATGCCAGGCAGTGCTCTACTGGAAAGTCTTCAGAAATGTATTATATTCTTAGCGATGACCATTTGCTAGTAGGAAAATTTCTGATCAATACCCTTTTAAACCGAAATCGTAATATCGGATTTTGCAATTTGCAAGCACACCGAGTTGAATGTCACGCTATCTTGTCCGTGCTATAGAAGAGTTGACTACACTGAAATGAGAAATATTTTTTCGACAAAGTATGTACCACAGACTCTGATGAACTACTGATCATAGAATACTGAGAAATGGTGGGACAGACCATTCACACAGGGATCTCAAATACTTTCTGTCTAGTCACAGAAAAGTTACCCGAAGGAAATTGATTTTGTTCGCGTTATCTCGTGAATGCTGGATAGCTTTTCATGTTTTCCTCCTTCATTTTTCTGTCGCATATGGAATTCTGTCGCTCTTTTATTCATTTCCTTCTACTGTCTGCTGCATTTTCCGGTATGGTATTTTCTGGCGAAATTTCACGGTAAATTGACAACAGTGAACAAACCATATATTTTTCTCAGTAACAGGTCTCTCCAGTCGCTTGGTGTGGTCAGTAGAGATTTCTTGGTCAAAGTGATGAATAGACCACACATAAATATGCCAAATACTTGAAACCTTTTTGAAACACCAAGAACAGGACTCCAAAGAGCAGAACGTTTATGTATCCTCTCCAAAGTTTTACAGCATACTGGGCACCTCCATTACCATATTGCTAAAAATATCTTGAAAATTTATTCATAAAGAAACATCAGAGATGTTTATTGTCGAAAAATTTATCCCTAATTCCATACTAGATAAATCAGGTTTTTTTTGTTTTACTCCATGTTGTTATGCTATACTCAGTAAACAAAAAGTAGGCACCTATTTGTATATTATTTATGAAAGCATTTTGAGGTATTTAAAGTGCAGTTGTCTGGATTGTGCAGCATGCATGGGCATGTCATCTTGTTTTCCATTTGTTAGGCGCAAACAGAGAAACAACTTGTAAGTTGTTTAATTGATTTGTAAATTTTCTGGTTATAAATGTGTGAGGGTGTTATTCATTTTAATTCATCTGTGGTACTTGAAAAGATGATTGTCAAGTGTTGAAGTACTTTGGCATCAATATAGTAACACTGTAATTCTGAAGTCAGTCTTTGATTTCTGTTAAAATCGTCAGATCTTAACACTGTAATTTTTTAAGAACTTAAGCAGTTCATTGGCTTAACTAGTTAAACAGAAAATGTTTTTCCTACAATATATTGGTCGTGAAGAACTTAATTAATTTTGATAGGGTTGGTGAATTGGGTACTCGAAGGATTCGACGACAATTTCATATTCATATATTATTTTCGGGCGCACTGCAGACTTTGGGACAAAAAACTTAGGGAGCATAAACATACGTGGGACAGCGACCTTAAGCCTGCCCTAAGAAGTCTGTAATGAGATCGAATTCTGCCCAAAAAGTCTGCAATGCACCCGAAAAATGCTAGTTTGGATAGATTCAGATTTATTGGTTGAAGATAGAGAGCTTGGAGTCTGTGTTAATTCTTTCCTAGGAAATTTCTGTGCTTGTCCAAACCCTTCTTGAATGAATTAATTGGGGTTGCAGACACCACTTCTTTCGAGAGTCGGTCCCAGGAGTTTATGCCTCAGTGTGAGAACCAGTACTCTTTCTCCTTGGCTTTTGAATTCTCCTACTGTGTCCTCTAAGGTGTTCCGACCACCTAGTGGGAAGGATAAGGCAGAATAGATCACATCCATAGTCATCATTTAAAATTTTAAACGTTGTATGACAGGAGGAAGAGATTTAAACTGTCTAGTCTTTCCTTGTGTAATGATTTAGTCATGCTAGGAATCATACGTGTTGCTTTCCTTTGAACTCTTTCTAGAATACGTGAGTCCCCTATAAGAAAAGAACTGGCTGGTTGTTTGGATACAGTTTTCCAGTCTTGATATCACCAGAGGTGTATATGAGGAGTTGAACATATCTCTGGTGATTATAGTAAAGGCTCTGTGAATTTCCCATAAGGATCTGAAACTAAGTGCAGCCACTGCACGACAATGCGCTGTAGTTTTTAAGTTGTGACTCACCATGACACCTGAATCAAAATGAGTCTGAAGTGATGGCAGTTTTATTGGCTCCAGTTCCTAGGAGCCGCTGCTTGCGTGTATAGTGCGCATGACTGTGCATTTCTCTACAATGATCGGGAGCATCCATTCTCTGACAATTTATGTAGGTCCGGGCACTGTGCCTTGTAGCACATTACTACGTACTGTTGTCCAGGAGGAGAGTTTTGAGTTGATTCTGGCCTGCTTCCCATCTATGAGGAATTCTATAATCCAGAATAATATGCTGCATTTGATACCAAGACTCTCCATCTTCATGAGTAGTCTTTTGTGAGGAACTTTGTCGCAGGCTTTGCTGAAGTCTAGGAGGACGACGTCAGCAGGTCTTTTGTTGTCCCTTCATTTGACCCAGCTTTTAGTGCAATGAAGAGATTTGACGGGCATGAGAGGTTTCCTCGGAAGCTATGCTTCGCTCTGGATAACGAGTTACTGTTTTCCAGATATACCATTATAGGTTTCTTGATGATTCTTTCCAGTGCCTTGATTAAAGTGCTGGTGGGGCTAATGGGCCTGAAGTTTGAAGGGCTTTGTCCTTATCCTCCTCTGTGGATGGGGTTTCTATGACGTTTTTTCATTTATGCGGTAATTCTCTGTTTGCAAGAGATAGCTTGAAGATCATGGTCAGTTGGCCGGTTATGTAAGCTGTTAGTCCCTTGAGAATTCTTGGTTGAAGATTATCAAGACTCATTGATTTCCCTGCACGTAGTTTCTTTAGTCAATTGAACACGACATCTTGATTGACATCAGTGGAGTCTATTCTGTGTTCCTACAATGCGGCTAGAACTAATCTTTTGGGGAGTGACGACTCCTGTGTAAATACTTGAGAGAAGTAGTCTGTGGTTTCTTCTGCTTTTTTTTGATCTTCTTCGATCGCGTCATTGTCAATGGTCAGGTTTGGGGCACCATTAGAAGTCTTATTCCCGAAGTTTACGTTCGAGAGAATTTTCATAGGTTGTGGCATTGTACTTTGAGCTAGATATGCTCTTTGAACCTCATCCTCGATTGGCGGATTCCTACAATAGCTTTGTTCCTAGAGACTATGTATTGCTTTCTTGTCTCAGGAGTCTCAAGTGTGGTAAACAGGTTCCAGCACTTGTGTTTACATCTAAGTAACTGACTGATCTCTCAGTTTATCAAAGGGGGCAATTTTTCCAATCCTCTGGGATAGACCAGGGGATGAAAGGTTCAGTTACTTGGGCGTAAAATTGTTTAAACTAATTCCATGGAGCTTTTAATTGTGACTGTGGGTTTATGTACCATTTGCTGTGTTGGCTGCTGAGACTTCCAAAAGTTTAGTCGAGATGGGGTTTTTGCCCATGACACTGCTGCTGTGAACTTGAAAGTGAGCACAGCGTGGTCACTTCTTCTTAAGGGTGGAAGACGTTTAATGAGGTCCACGTCCTCACCACGGAAGAACACTAGGTCCACGGTTGGAGAGGAGTGCTGTGAGTCATAGAGCGTGCGTGTGACAAAAAGATAGGTGTTCCTTTTAGCCTAAATGTAGACTCACTTTTCCAGCTTTATGACTGATTGGGAATAGATTCTTCTTGTAGTTTTGAAAAACCTTAGTTTCTTCATGGCAAATTCAAATAATGGTTTTCCGGTTCGATCCTTTAGTTGAAGAAACTTTTAGACTGCATCTAATTGAACTTAATCTTACTATGGTGGACACTCCTTTATGTATAAAGTTTCATTTTGATAAAATGTAACACTCAGTGTGTGTGTGTGTTTGTTGTACAGTAATATTTACTGATGATGACCACACATGCTTACAGCACAATTTATCATTGCTACCACTGCTCATAATCATATCAAGGTACACACTCACACACCACTCACCTTCTTGCTTCGTCGTTTATATTTTTGATTACAGCTTGATTCCACACAGTATTTTTTGGTACAAGTATGGAATTCTCAGCATGTGATATCGGTAGCCCAAATTTTGCAGGCCGACCATAGATATCAGGTGTGCGTCGGCAGACGATGGAACCTTGGTCTTACCACTGTGCCACCGGCCCACCGTTTATACACATGCATAATAAAAAATTGATGATTAGAAAAAATTTGATTGAATAAAACCAATCAGTAATATAAGATGAGAAGAAAGTACATTCGGAAATAATAACAATAATGATATTAGTGTTATCAATCAATCAGTCAAATACAATGAGATGTGAGGGGAAATAAGATGAGTGTTTTTATAGTAAAATAATTAAATAGATAACTTGTTGTTAGAATGTGTATGTGAATTGAATTGAAGTGAAATAGAATACAATTTAAGATTATTTATTATCCTGTTCTGATTTGACCGATTGATTGCCTGGTGGTAAAAATATCTCGCATATCTCTGGTATTAGCTGGCGTTGATGATGATTCACTTCTATTGCATGTGTTGTGTTTTGTTGGGTGTGTAGACTCGATAAACCAGGATTCAGTAAGTAATCAACCTCTTTCTCTCTATCTCCACCCGCCTACCTACATCAATTTTTGGAATTTTGACTTTGTCACACCCCCAGTGAGTTATTTCTTCTAAATTACTTATCTTCGAGGGATCAAATATTCTAACTTTAGCTACATTCTTATGTTCTGACAGGCAATCTCACTACAACTGCCTGATCTACTGGTCTGACTCACCTATGTAGGTAGTTCACCTAACTCACAGTGATTGCAAGGCATTTTGTAAATTATATTATTTTGTGTAATTATGTCAACCTACAGGGTCCTCCAACCTACCTACTAAGCATCTCCAATCTGAGTGAGTTAGCAGGCTTGAATGCCTGTCTATCTGTTTTCGACATAGAACTTTGCACAAATGTGCGGAAGTTCAAGTCGCCACATTCCGTGTAGCACGCGAAGCAAGAGAAGAAAGTACAAGAAAAGCATAATAGAAACAGTGAGCAGAGGTGTGAGACAAAGGAGTAATAAAGAAATACAAAACAGTTTCATTGAAGATCATAAGTCACAGGGAGTGGATGCATCTGCGCCACTGAGAACGATTTTGAGCCATGTCACCAATTGTTTCCAACCATAGATTTTTACCGTCCCGAGGACCCCAGCCTGGAAGTCTACACCTTCCTACGTGGCTTAGACCAACTGTTGTGGATTTCATTGACTGATGCCAAGTTTTTGTTTGACCGCCGCTAGCTTTTTTCCAGCCTGACCCTATATCCGCTAACATTGCTCGTCGAGGGAGGCGATGGCTTGGCATACGTAACACATGTCCTAACCATCTCAGTCTTTGTAGCTTCACGACTTCGTCGATTGATTTCCCCTGTTTACCTAGAACTCTACGCCTAACCTCCATGTTGCTCACCTTATTATGCCACTTTACACGGGAAATAGAACGCAGGCACCTATGATCAAAGACAGCTAGTCTTTTCATGTCTTCCACTCTCAGTGGCCAGGTCTCACAACCATAAAGGAGGACGGAGCGGACTGATGAGCAGTACACCCGCCCTTTGGTCGATAGTCGAACATCTCGTCTACGCCAGAGTCGGCGTAAACTAACAAATGCGAAACGAGCCCCTTGTATTCGTGCTGAGATTTCGTCAGAGATCAGCCCGTTGGGGCTGATGGTACTTCCCAAATAAGTGAAGCGGTCAACGTGCTCTACCACTTCACTTCCTATTTTTAAACTAGGCGTCGATGTAGTCCAGTCCTGTAACATCATCTTGCATTTGGCGGGAGCGAATCGCATGCCAAACATTCGTAGATTGCGGCTCAAGGTGTTTAGAAGACTCTGCATTTCGTCAGCGTCTTCGCCTAGAAGGACTATATCGTCTGCATATTCCAAGTCAACGAGATTATTCCCAGGTAGCAAGTCAATCCCTGAGTCGCTGAAGTCACCTAGGGTTAAGTCCATTAACACATCTATGATGAAGTTGAATAGAAAAGGAGATAATGGGCATCCTTGACGGACACCACTGGTCGTCATCAGTTCAGATGACAGCTCGCCGTAAGCCCTCACCTGGCTGTATGAGTACGAGTAGAGTGCCTTAATCAGTGCAATATATTTTCTTGGAATTCCCTTTACAGCCAAGCATCTCCAGAGAACTTCCCGATCGACAGAGTCGAATGCTGCCTTTAGGTCAAGAAATATAATGACTGTTGGACGCCGGTAGGAATGCCTATGTTCTAGAATCTGTCGGAGGGTGAAGATATGATCAATACACCCTCTTCCTGGTCTAAAGCCTGCCTGGCTCTCTCGTGTTTGTGCTTCCCGAGCACCACTCAGTCTACGCATGATTATTGAGCCTAAGACTTTAGATACTATATTAGTCAAGCTAATCCCTCTGTGATTATCACAGGAAGACTTGTCTCCCTTCTTGTATATGGGGATAATCAGTGACTTACACCAACCCGATGGGACTTCTTCTGATTCCCAGACGCTGCCTAGTACCTCAGTTAATCCGGACAGTAAGCTGTCTCCACCGTACTTAAATACCTCTGGAGTCATTCCATCAGGTCCCGCTGCTTTGCCTAGTTTCAGATTGGTGACAGCTTTAGTAACCTCAGTTAGTGACGGAGGACCTGTGTTTATATCCCATTCAGGGAGGTGTTGGATGCTCGGAAGGTTGAGCGTGGCTGTGGGCAAATTAAACTGCTCCTCATAATGCTCTTTCCAACGATCCAGTCGTCTATCCTGGGAGCTAATTATAGTGCCATTTTTTTCCGAGATTGTCTCACTGATGATTTGTCTTCTCCCACCCGTTTCCCTGATGAGTCCAAAGAGTTGCCTGGTGTTGCCTATCCTCAAAGCTTTCTCCATCTCTTTGGCTTTTGTCGCCCACCACTGTTCACGGTCCTTGCGGAGACTTTTCGTAAGTTTCCTCTTGTGCAGCTTTCGCTCCTCATTGAATTCGGAGCTCGCCGGAATAAGTCTTCTAGCATCTATCAGTTCGGATGAGGCGGTGGAGATCCAGTGGTTTTTACTCACCTTTGGGTTTACCTTATTCACAGCTTTTACAGCTGTATCTATGGCTGCCTGGATATTTTTCCAAGCTTCTTCAGGGTGAGCACAGCTGTCGAACACAGATATGTGTTGAATGCCACTGCCCTTATTCCTGCTTTTTCAAGAACCTTACGTAAGGATGTTCTCAGATGTCCACTCCCCCCTTATATGCTTATATTTTCTCTTAGATATGTTATCATTATTAGTTTCACTACTATTTTCATTTTGTTCTTGACGTTTTCTGATCTTCCTAATGAATTTTATGGGATAGTTAGTTAGTATTTTTAACACCAACCAGCCATTCTTCTTCTTCTTCTATCTGTTTCATTTAATTGTTTGGGTTTTTTTGTTGTACTACTTAGTGATTTTTGTTGCTCTGTTCGTTAGATACTTAACTAAGCCGGCGTTTACAGACAGATAACGAAAGGATGAGATGATTTCAAGTCTAAACATCCATTAGCAGAATTTGTCGGCTTTTTATAAACGCTAGTGTGGAGTCTAGCTTCTTCTGTTCGTTTTATTTTACAGTATATGAGAAGCCAGAGAGAGATACGCTCGGTTTTTAACACTGTATGTTAAAGCGTCAACCACATGTCTCTCCACCAAATTTCTGGAGTAAGATTAAGTGAGTGTATTAAGAGCAGTATTTCCCCAGCTGTTTATGAAGATATCTACTACGATGATAGGGGATATTGGTGATCCATCATCCCATTACTACACCTTCTATTTGTCATTATATTTTGCCTTGGAATTTAAAGATAGTAGATGTGAGGCATAACTGAATTCCTAAAATAATTTCCCCGATGAGTAAGTTAGGGACCAGAAGTTAGTTGTGTTTTAACTGCTTGTTATGCCAAATTGACTGGTATATAGCACTGATATAACGTTCTAACAAGTTTTTTATATATTTTTCTACAAAAACACTCGTCTTATTTCCCTTCCCTTCCATCATCTGATTGTATTTGACTGATTGATTGATAACACTAATGTCATTGATATTATTATTTCCGAATGTAGTTTCTTCTCATTTTATATTACTGATTGATTTGATTCAATCAAATGTTGTCTAATTATCATCAATGTTTACTCATGTATATAAGTGAGGGTAGGAAGTGAGAGTAGTGTGCGTATTGCCTTGATATGATCATGATTATGAGTATTAGCAATGATAAATTGTGCTGGAAACATGTGTGTGGTCATCATCAGTAAATATTACTGTATAACAAACATACACAGACACATACACTGTGTGTTACAATTTATCAAAATAAAACTTTATTCATAATGGAGATGTACTCGACCAGCACAGAGCTCAAGTTTTCTCCTTATATGAAAATTCCATAGTTTTACCAAAATACTGTGTGGAATAAAGCTATAATAATAATAATAATAAATAAATAAAAATACCCATCGATTGATTACACGTTGTTAGTCAAAGTATATTTAAAATGTTAAACTATCATTAAAATTTAGTAGTAATTGTCAAAAGAATGGTTACTGAACAAAGAATACTCTTTCCGATTACCTCTTCCTCATCAGGTTCTACAGTTATACGCATCCATCCATAATTGTGAATGAATGAACTAGCGTTATTAGCAACATAAATGTTGTTTAAATAACATTGAATCAATGAGCATAATAATATCAATAAATTACACTTCGACAGCATCAACATAACAATAAACTAAATGTCGGAATAATTAAGGAGAGTAATAATCATAATACAGAATTCATGAATTTATATTTTCGACTGAAGGTCAACCAGGGCAGTAGTACTGACTGGCTAGCTGGACTTGTTTCTTTTGCACACAGAGCACTGGTTGTTTCACGTGAATCGCGATAGACTCTGCTGTTTGGAATAGGGGGTACTTGGATGTTTTTGGCAATTTAATTGGTACCCGATAGATGATGATGGAGAAGGATTCTTCAATGCTGGCTCTCTCTGTGACCTGTCGGTTTGGACTAGGCGGTCTAATATCGAAGGGTTGATGGTTTTTACTATACCTTTTCTTAGCCACACTGGGAGATGTTCCCTACCGAGCAAGAAATAGATTAATGGCCAATATAACTCCCTCTATCACAAGCGCAGTTAAATTAGTAGATACAACTGGAGGTGGCCAGGTAGTATAGGTAATTCATCTTTCAATGGAGGAATCACCATCGATTGGTTGTGCAGAAAACATAACTTGTAGTCTACCAACAATAAAAGTTCTTTGAGCTGATTTCCTTAACTTCTTCGTAATTATTTCGCTAGATATATATTCCTTGAATTGCAGTCGTATGTATATAAAGGCTTCTTGTTTACGGATAGTGAATAGTCGACTTTTCTGGTCTCTTTTCCACGTTTTTCTTGATATATTTGTTGGGATAGGAGGTATCTGGTAGGTATCATATGCAATCAATTCTTAGTTCATATTCAGTTACTTTTCCTGAACAGATAGGTCTAACCTTGTAGCTGAGTGAGTGTTTTTACTGGAGAGAAACTAAGCTATACAATTGTGTATAATATTGTCCTGTCCACGTAGTAATCATTTTAAATGTTTTTTTTTATTTCTGTCCATTAACAGAGAAATTTTTCTCGTCATCTTGGGATTGGATAACGCTGGAAAGACGACAACAACGCGCAGTATCAAAGGAGGTAAGTTATAATTGAGATTTACTAATTTTTATATCATAAAAAGTTTCAAGTGAATTAGTCGCCCCGACAATTGGCTTTGATCGTATTGAATTCGCTATAGATCGATTTAATATTAATCTTTATGATTTGGGTGGTGGCAAAACTATACGTGATATCTGGGAGACATATTTTGCTGAAGTCTATGGAGTTATATTTGTCGTAGATTCGAGTGCACCGGAAAGACTTGAAGAATGTCATGAAGTGTTGTGTAATCTACTTGCTCATCCGTGTATTTCAGGCAAACCGGTTCTTTTGTAAGTCTTTGAATACACGAATGTATGATGGACGAAATTTGTATTATGAAAATCATTTTAGATTGGCAAATAAACGGGATATTAAAGATGCACTGGATGAATCAGAGCTTATAGCGGCTCTGCAGTTGGATGATTTAGTCAATCAATATCATTGTCCTTGTCGATTGGTAAGCCGAAATTGTCTACTTTTTGTATTAATATATGTGTAAAACTGTGGTGGTAGCATATACTTCCATATTTGTTTATTATATATATATATATCACACACACACACACGATTAGTGAAACAGTAGTATTATTCATTACTGGGTAATGGTGCCTTTCAAACACAATTTATTTATTTATTATTTATAATCATCTCATCAATTATAACAACACACAACTTCGAAGCTTGAGTTTTATAGTTTTCTTTGTTCTCTCCTATTTGTCGTCGTAGGCGTGGTAGTAGAATTCTCCAGATGTCGACGTGGACAGGTGTTGAATCATTCCTATAACACATATTCCCCCGTCTCAGTTGATTCAATAAAAACTTAGCAATTGAAACGTTCAGCCCCACTCCAAAAGGATGATGCAAGTATCAAGATGACACATTCACTGTACTTAGAACACAAAATATAGATAGATTTTTCGAAAACATCAACTCAAAGGTGAGGGTAATTCAGTTCACCTATAAATTGGACAGTCAGAAAGGGGAAGTAGCGTATAAAGGAAAGAAGGTGGGAAGTTAAACACATCAGTGTTTACAGGAAACCCTTACATTCAAACAGATATTTGGAATTCTCATCATCCCATCCTATATCAGTGAAAAAAATAGGATTGGTGAAATTTTTAAGTGACAATAGGACACAAAACTAAGTAGTACCAAGGAAAATCTAAGTCAGAAAGTGAGGCATGCAAAAGAATCTTTGAGGCTTAATTAATAATTACCCTGATAAATTAATTAGGAAGTATGTAGGGGAAAATTTAAAATAAAATAAATAATCGTAGTGATAGTGATAATAATAATAATAATAATAATGTTAATAGTAATGACGACATGCATGTCAAAAATGCACAGGATAATGATAACGCCAACAATAGGGAATCCACATCGTCAGTAGGGCGTACTTCCATACAAAGAAGGAACCCCGGAAACCACCTTACGGCAGAGGACTCTTAACAATGTAGGAAAGAATAAAAATTGTTGGCACTGAAACCCACAAACTCAATTAGAAACAAACTTTGTCGGCTAAAGAATCCTGTGGAGTCAATAAAACAAAACAATTTAGGGAACCATTAGAAAACCTGCGTCGGTGGTATAGCGGTTAGGACGCTCGCCGACCATGCATATGGTCCGGGGTTCGATCCCCGGCTGGCGCACTCCTTCACCTCACTGAGCCAGAAATAATGCTGGTAAAGAGGAAAGGTTGGGCATGAGGCTAGCAACCCTATCCTGTAAAAATTAAACACTGCTACAGAAACTTCAAGCCACTAGCTTGGAGCCCTATGTTCCACTGGGAACGTGAAGGAAAAATTATTATTATTATTAGAAAACCTGGAAGTAGTGGACAGCTTATTCGTCCTAGTTTTGGAGTCTTCATCAGTACGCACCCACCTGGGTGACCAGTAGGTTGCAGCGGGTCGGGCGAGCCTAGGACATTGTTCAGTGGTCGCGCCACGTCGTGAATTGGTAAAAGTTAGAACTCATGGGTTGGCCATTGGATCCTGTTCCAGTGTCCCAATGGTCTACGAGCTCGCTCGCCTTGTAACCAGAAGGTTCTGGGTTCGAACCTTTTTTTGGTGGCTGCGTACTGATGAAGATTCCCAAACTAGACTGATGAAACAACTGGCTATCCAGTACTCCTTGCAGGTTTTCCAATGGTTCTCTAACCAACCGATGTCAGCTCATGATGAAATCCTGTAACCAATCAATTAAATCCCTACAAACCCATACTTGAAAAACAATTAAGTTTATCTAATACCCTGCCTATAATGATTGTCAGGTCAAATACATAGGTCAAAGTAGTAAAACGGGGTCAGTCAGTCAGACTAATGGAGAGTTAAAACCTAGCAGCAAAATCTAGATTAGTTGACCCGAAGATAAGATAAGAAATCTAGAGAATAGTTCAATAATATACAATATAGGGTAATGGGATAAGATGACAGTTTTAAAATCTAATGTAACAGGGTAGAGGGAATAAAAGAGAGATTGATAACGTAAGCTTTGTTTTATTTTTGTATCGCTGTACAGTACTTGACGCGTAATCCTTAAAAATTGGACGATTTTGAATTGATTCCAAACTTGAAATTGTTTCATTAAATGATATAAAGTTCATTTTGAATCAAAAACAATTTAAATAGACCGTTCATGCTGTTTATAAAAACAAAACAATAAAAGCGAACAATATTGTTGTTTTTAATTATATCTTCTTCAAGCTTTACTCTTATTTACATAGGTTTATGTATAAAACATAATTTGACGAATGGCGGTGATTTTGTGGATCAAATAATAATAGTAGTAAACCCTTTAAACGTCATTAATAACGGTGATTACAATGATAAGGTAAGGATGTACATGAACACTAGGTGTTATAGTAAAGAGAAACTTGCGACAGTTAAAAAGAAATAACTGTTCCTAAAATTACAATTTAATTTAACGGGTACGTGGCTTGTGAAGTCGTACATCTAAGATCATCTAGAGCCTTAAGACGGACTCATACTGCTGCCACCACGCTTTTACTGTCATTTTCCGGCTGTCGACTAATTTTGTTTGCTCAAGCAAAAGTCAAGCTACCTAGCTGTTCCACTTTTATGTGTATCTGCAAATTTAGTTGCTCCTGTGGAGAGAGCTGGCTATATAGGGCGAACAACAACTAAAGTTGCTGAACAAACGCACCATTAATGAGCATCTTCCTCCCTTCATGGTTCGGAAAAGGCCAAATAAAATCTATTAGAAGTTATATGTTAACTCATTTTAGTGATGATGATTATAGTGGTCCCCATGTATCTCCTTATCTCATCATTATAATGATCGTCATTAATGACGTTCAAAACCTTCACCACATTATTATTATTTGATCCACAAATGCACCGTCATTGGTTAAACTGTTTTAAATATAAATTTATGTAAATTAGATTAAAGCATGAAGAAGATCTAATTGAAAACAACAATATTGTTCGCTTATATTGTCCTGTTCTAATATTATTAATAATGGAAATATATCTAAATATTTGAAATCACACTGTTTTTAACACTCCAATATCTACTGAAGAGTGTGAATGCGTAAAAGTTGCTTCGATATATGTGAATTTCGTCAGTGTAAGATAACACTGACTCATAGACTGTTTTTTTTGGTAGTTGATTGTTAGGACTGAGAAAAAGTAATTAATTACAACAAAATTTTCCAGAAAAATCGAAAAAATTATCTCAAAAATATTCTTAGTTAAAATAAGTAGTAAGAACTTTCGACTGAAGTTGCTCATATCTTCTTGGTTCTGGTGTCTTTGTTTGCTTGTCTTGCTGTCTCCAGTTCCGGAGCTCGCTGACGTGCACCCGCTCCCCTTCGCTTGCATTTCTGATGGTATATACGTCACCCCGTCTCACGGTGACCATATCTAATCGTTCCCACTTTGGAAGCAGTTTATGTGACCCTGGCTGACTAGCGCGTATTCACCGGTGTTTAACCTCACACTATCGTATGCTGTCTTCGCTCGACCTCTCCGCTCAGCAACGTTACAAGTAAGGACATCTTTGCTGACGAATCTTGAACGCCACTGAACTCTGCGACAGCCTTGAATTCCTTTAAGAAGATGCATATGTCTCCTTCTTCAAAAACTAAAGGCCATGGGCTTTTCATTTGTCGACAGTCAGCGACGCCAAACGTCACAGCATAATGCAAGACACGGAAGGCAAGTTACTGAACTGTGGGAATAGTATATATGAGAATAATATTCAGCTGAAACCCATTGTGTGTATCACACCGCCACAAAACAGTTATTGTCTTGTGGTCAAGATGTCGATATTTATATTCAAGGAAATAACTAAGGAATTCTCAAATAGTGTAATCAAGAGAAGATATAATTAAAACTACTTCACATTCTTCAGTATAACTGAATCACACAAAAATTTTAATACCACACATCGGAAAAGTGGGTGAGAATTATGTGAGTGATTTTTAGTCATGATGTTAAATATGAAGTTGCATTTTAATGCTAAATAATGCTCAATAAATAAACAAATAATAATTATTCATTATTCCTATAATTCCCTTGAGTTCTGAGTGGAACATACGGCTGGCTTCAACAACACCACATCTTCACTTCGTTCTATTTTCTGCTGTCGTCTTCAGCTGCGTCCACGATTGTGCCAGACTCTCTCATCTCCTCCTCACATGATCTCATCCATGTCACTCTGGCACCAACGACCCATTCGTCCGTCACTTCCCACTGAGATTTCACTCGAGTGATACATGGCCTGCATTGCGCACGATATCGTTAGAAGGCCTTCCTCCTCAACGTATGCCTGATCAATCCGTCTCCAATCCATTTCTCCTACATGTTTGCTGAGCGATCGACTCTTGCCTGTTGGTTTGTTCCACTGCAGAGTTTTTTGTTGTTATTTCTTTCTGGCCGGCCATTTGATCTTCTGTATGGAGTCATCCAGAGAAGGTGGCAGCTATTGCTGGAAGTCTGTAGTGACCTGTTGGAAATGCTTGTTGTGACGCACTGGCCAAGTTTCTGACCAGCACTAACTGACTGACTGGATTGACATTTGCGTTGAAAATTGAAATCGCTTTATTTATGGTGCTGAGTCATTGCAAGCCTGCTTCAGGTTGATAAACGAGTGCGTATCTTGTCTTTCCGACTCTTATTGCCTTTGAAATCTTCATCCGTGTCATCCACCTGTAGTTGAAACGATGCTGCCTAGCCACCAGATAAGTGAAGGAGGTAACCTCTGTTAAATCTCTTTATCTGGTTGGTGGTGATTGGTGGTGGTTGTTGTTATCGCTGTTCATTGGTCGAATACCTTCATCACCTTCATCTACACCTTCTCTATCTTCACCTGGATGGAGTCAGTACTGTCTTCTCTGCCTCCAGCCAGCTTCTTCAACCAATTCGTAATAATTAACACTAACGAATTAAATGTATTCACCATTAAATAGCATTGCTTTTGATGAACACTGTCACTATTCTTATTCTTATTATTCTTTTCAGGAGTATTGCTGTGCTTTATTATTACCTGGTAAAAAATTAGATAAAGCAATTCGTGATGGTTTACGATGGCTACTCAGGTATATCGAATCAGAAATAACCACACTACAATCACGTGTACACGCTGATATGGCTAGACAAGCAAGAGAACAAGCAATTGAACGTGAAGCTCGAAAAGAAAGAGTTCGCCTAGCTAGAGAAGAAAGAGAACGTTTGGAAAAATTGTCTAATCATAAGAATAAAAAAATGCAGCCTAACAACACACCTGTATCAGATAGACTTCATAATGATATTGGTGACATTATGACGGATGAAAGCATTAATATTGAATTATCTCAGGTAGTGGGAACTACTACAACAGGTGATTATGAAGAACAAGTGAGTTCGATTTTGTTCGCATAATTCAGATTTTTGGCAGCACACATACACTGATGCACTGTATGATTTTATGTTTGTGGATTTTTGGTCTAGTTGTGTGTTTTCTGCGCTAGCTAGTTGAATGGATGGTTTTTTTTGAGAAGCTTTCATTATTGCCCTCCTACTAGGCAACATCTTCAGCGCATGCTTGACTTCAATTTGAATTGAAGTGAGCTGTTACATTTCTCCACGAGTTTATTAGTCATCTCTCCTGGTTGGTAGGTGAACTGGAACTGTGTGAAGTGGTATAATAAGGTGGGCAATATTCAGGTTAGGCGTCGATTGCTAGGTAAGGGGGGAAATCAATCGACGAGGCTGTGAAGTTACATCGACTGAGATGGTTAGGAAAGTGTTACGTATGCCTAGTCATCGTCTTCTTCGACAGTAGGCGATGTTAGCTGACGTAGAGTCAACCTGGAAAAAAGCTAGCGGTAGTCAAACCAAAATATGGCATTAGTCAGTGAAATCCACAACAGTTAGATTAAGCCAGCCAGTCACGTAGGAAAGTGTAGATTTCCTGACTGGTTGTGGTCTTCTGGATGGTAAAAACCAATGAAGGCTGAAGACAATTGGTGATATGGCTCGAAATCGTTGTCTATGGCGCAGATGCATTCACTCCTTGTGACATATAATATCCAATAAGACTCTATTGTTCTTCAATATTACTCTCGTTTTTGTCTCATATCTCTGTTTGCTGTCTCTATTTTGAATTTTTTCTACTTTCTTCTCTCGCTTTGTGTGCTACAAGAAGTGTAGCGACTTGAGCTGCTGCATATCGGTGCACAGTTCTATGTTGAAACCAGTCAGTCAGTCAGAACTTGGACGTCGTGATTGGTTCCTTTGTATATTTTCACACACTCTATTATGGATAAGATGATATTTCGACAAATCACACAGTGTTGTACAGTTATATTAACTGATGACGTTTCGAGCATAAACTATCGCTCATAATCAAAATAGGAGACACTGAGGATGATGGCGATTAGTCGTATTAAATTCGTAGAATGTTTCTGTGGTTCAGATTTTTCATGTAGGGCGCACGATTATGCAGGTTCGTCTACACGTTCGCGAACATTTGTCATCTTGGTTCAGCAAGTGGAAGAATTAAGTGCATAAAAACTGTACCCTGTCACACTTGGCTGAGACTACTGGACATCGCATCGACGCCAACACAGATTTCAGCGTTATATACCTAATTCCGAAGTCGTCATCATTTACAGTTTGCTTACATCTCCTACACATAGCTGAAGCTGTTTCGATAAGATAGACTAGACCTGAGCTTTGTATCCAAAAGAACACGTTCAGACGCTGTTCATAACGTGGTCAAATTTCGATTAGCGATTCTTCTTCTCATCAAGAGAGCCTCTTCCCCTTAACCATTGTGGGTTTTTTTCTTTCAATGCTAATTCTTACAGTTATTATCATCATTACTACTCGTCATAATTTATACCCTTCATTAAAACATTCTCTCAATACTATCTAATTTTCTATTTATACTATCCGGATATATTATTAGTAATAACATTATCTCTTTTCTCAATATATGCCTCTACCTGTTTCTTCATTTCCCACATTGGTTATTTCATAACGAATGAACCTGTCATTGCAGTCTTACTATCTCCTCTTTAATACATACTACTTTGTGATAGCCACTCCACTCACCTGACACTTTTTATAACCTTGCACTGACTTGTCAATTTTTACTATCCTGCGTTCTACGAATTGACTATGACTTATCACCACCATTATCTTTTCTGCTATTTTACAATAGTTTTTAATCGGTTTCAGCTGAGAGCACAACGTTTGTCACAGAAATACGACTATTTGTTTTGAAATCCCATAATTACTAATCTGTTGTTCTGCGTTAAAAATGTATCCGCCCTATAACTGGCTATCATTATTGTAGTGACAGTAAGTATTATAACTGTTTTATAATTGTAAGAACCTGAAAAGAAGGATGGATTGAAAAGAATATTCTTTGTTCAGACTGACTTTTAATTCACACCATTATATCTTATAAATATAGGACCCAACATTACCCTGTAAGTCTCGATATCAACCACTAGATAGACCTTGATGTCAGCACCTATTAAATTTGCTTTCCTCCGTTAACCCTGATCAATACACTACCTAACGTGTATGTGTACTGATGAATGAAGTCCGGGTGGAAGACCTATGCACTGTCCTGTACACGAATGTGAGATTAAAACTGTTACTTAGCAATATTGTACAAATTATCTGTTGGCAGGCTGGAGTAGTAAGCTCAGAGAGTGCGCTTAATGATAGCACAACTAGGGAGCGAGCCACTTGCAAGCAGTCAAGCAGGAAAGAAAACAAAGACGGCGCAGCCCCATAGTACATGAGAATACTTTAAAACAAAAGTTCAAACATTCAAGGTGCACTACAACACTAATAAACAGCCTGACATCTTGTCGTTCATTATCTGCACATCTTGTAGGAAACGAAACAACAAGTAGACGAATGCGATGGAAACCCAAATGTAGGATAATTTAAAACAGAAAGAGTTAAGATAAAATTTGTAAGTTTAATATTACATGTGAGAAAACTGATAAGGCCTAAAGATTTATTTATCGTTAGGACTTAGTTCTAAGTTAAACTCAATGATCGTACATACTCTAGTCAAACTATTTCAGGATAACTCCATTATGGATAAGATTTTATTTGGATAAAGTGTCACACACAGAGTGTGTTTGTTTTACAGTAATATTTACTGGTGATGACCACCTGCTTCCAACACAATTTGTCATTGCCACTACTACTCATAATAATAATAATCCTATCAAGGCACACTACTCACACATCACTCACTTTCTTGCTTCGTAGTTTATATGCACATGAGTAAACACTGATGATAATTAGACAACATTTGATTGAATCAAATCAATCAGTAATATAAAATGACAAGAAACTACATTGGGAAATAATAATAACAATGAAATTAGTGTTATCAATCAATCAGTCAATCAGTCAAATACAATCAGATTATGGGATCGGAAGGGAAATAAGACGCGTGTTTTTATAGTAAAATAAATAAATAAATTAATTAATAACTTGCTGTTATGTATGTGAATTGTATTGAATAGAAATGAAATACAGTAAACATTATTTGTTAACCTGCTCTGATTCGACTGACTGAATGACTGGTGGTAAGAATATCTGTGGTGCTGTATTAGCTGGTGATGATGATGAGTCACTTCTATTGCATGTGTTGTGTCATGTTTTGTTGAGTGTGTAGACTCGATGAACCAGGATTCAGTAAGTAATCAACCTCTGTCTCTCTATATCTCCACCCGCCCAGCTAGATTAGTTATCAGAATTTTGAAACTGTCCCATCCACCACTTTGTGTGGTTGTGCGTCAATGCATGCAGTGCAATGTATTGTTGAGTTATTTTTTCTAAATTACTTATCTTCGTGGGTGGGATCAATCATTCTAACCTTGGCCAAATTCGTATGTTCTGACAGCCAATCTCTCACTACTCCTCCCTGATCTACTAGTCTGACTCACCTATGTAGAGGTAGTTCACCCAGCTCGTAGACATTGCAAGTTATCTTGTAAATTCTATTATTTTGTCTAATTGTGTCAACCTACGTACAGAACGTGTCCTATCTGAGTGAGTGAGTTTGTAGGTTTGAATGCCACCACCACACGAATTTCCGCATAGTTGACAATCCTACGTAGTGTGAGTTTCAGATGAACCCCCTCCCTCACTATATGGTAGGTCTACTGTAAATGCCTTATATTTTCTCTTATTTACGTTGTTATAATTATTAATTTCCTTATTATTTTGGTTTTCTTTTGATTTTTTCTAATCTTCCTAATTCATTCTATAGGATATTTAAAACCAACCAGCCATTCTTCTATATGTTTCATTATTTCGTTCATACTTTTTGATGTACTCCTTAGTAATGTTGTTGCTCGGTTTGTTAGACACTTAACTTAGGCAGCCTTAACAGACAGACAGATAACGAATGAGATGAGATATGTCCGCCCTCTTCGCCCTACCAGGACTGGTGAAACCTTGTTCGAGTGTGCATGTGTGTGTACTCGAGCAATGCATACATTTTTATTTCGACAAAGTACTAAGGCGAACTAATCCTGGTGTATACATTCCATATCTTGTGGACATTTTCATTCGAAACTACTGCTAGCTGAAAAGGTCGTTCATATTTCCAAAGTCCTATAAGGGGTCTGAAGTCTCCATAAGTGTACATCTGTTATGTATTTAAAATAAAATTAGAGAAAATAGAATTGATTGGAAGATTTCATCATAAGCTGACATCAGTTAGAAAACCATTGTGAAACCACCTGGTACTACTGGACAGCTGTTTCATCCTTGTTTGGGAATCCCTATCAGTGCGCACCCGCCGGGGTTCGAACCCAGGACCTTCTGGTTACCAAGCGAACTCCTGTGTGTGCGTACTGATGAAGAGTCCAAAGCTAGAACGAAGCAACTGTCCAGCACTTCCAGCTAGTTTTCCAGTTTTTCCATAACTGATATCAGTTCATGATGAAATCCTCCAACCATTCAAACAAAATACCCTCAAAACCAATACTTGAAAATGGAATTGTCAATGTACACTCAACAGACCATCAAAGTTTGCTGCACTGTTTCTGGGTTTTTCAGCACAGATCTTTCAGCAAAAAGATCTATTCAAGTGGCCTCCTTTTAACTAAAAGACTGTTGTAATACCACTTTCTCTCTCTCTGTTGACGACATCAAACCAGACTTCAGGTTAAGGTTCCATTATGGGTAAATTTTTGTTTTGATAAAGTCTCACAGTGTTATACAGTAATGTTTACTGATGACGTTTCGAGCACAATTTATTGCTCATAATCAGGTTAAGGTGTTTTGATAATATTGGACGTCTGTGGGTGTGTCTGTTTTGCAGGTTCTAACAGTTCCGAAAAATGCCTTATTCTTACAACTTCAGTTGCTTG